GAAAATTTGCTGTTTTGTGCTTGTGTGAATTGGCTAAGTCATGTGTCTGCAGGCTCTATTTTCACATGCATATTGCTTAAATAATAGATATTAGGATTGTGAGAACATTTTAATTAAAAATACTTAAAAATATATGGCTCCATTTCTGTCAATTGGATGGATTAAATTCCTCTCCATTAAATATAGCTCAATGTTCTGTCTCATTTGATGACTTTATTCTTAAATATCTGGATTCAAAGATTATAACTTATCACAATCACAATGCTTTCTCCTACCTAAGTTCTGGACTGAATAATAAATTAGACATATAGAAATAATATCAACTTTACTATTGTATTGGAGTAAACAACATGGCCGACCAAATAAAGAGATTCCTAATATTGCTTCTGAGTCTAGGTATTGGGTCCTGTCTCAGATGGAAATATGCAGCAGATGTGCACATGTGTATTTTCTAAATGACATGGACAAAAATGGCCATAGAAGTCATACACATAATAGCCCCCAAAGGCAAACATCCAACTAAACAGTAGAAGAAACAAATGAAAACTGTGGTATATTTAGGCAATGGCGTAGGAGATAGTACTGTGAGTGAACAAAGTACAATGCAGCCACATGGATAAATCCACAAAATAACGTTCAGGGGAACAAAAGCTACATATGAGAATACATACTGTATAATTCCATTTTTATAAAATAAAGTTTGAACACAAGCAACACTAAAAGGGTGTTAGAATCAGGAGCATGGTCACCTTTGGGGGCAATAATTGGAAGGGGACGCAGAAGGCCTACCGTTCCTAGAAATGTTCTTTTTTCCTTTATCTGGCTGCTGGTGCTGTGCATATATGATGTGTTCTCTTGTTTCTCTACTGTAATTGAATAAAAACATTTTTAAACAGTTACTTTTGATCTCTGTGCTTGTCTAGTTATTGAGCCATCCCTCACTTCTCCATAGTCAAATTCATTTAAAACATCATCTCCCCAAAGCCTGGAGTCATCCTTGACTCTTCTATTTGCCTCACACACCATGTCTAATCTACCATTAAACCCTGCTAGATCTAACTTCAAATGTATCAAGTCTGATTACTTCTCACCATCTCATGAGTACTCTGGTTTATCATTTCCTATTGGCTTTATTGCAATGAGCAACCAACTGGTCACCCATATCACTCAGCCTTTTCTCCACACAGCAGTCAAGGAAAGTTTTAAAAATCGAAAATCATATCATGTCATTTCTTTGCTCAAGCCCATTTCATTTCATTCTGAATAAAAGTCAGAGTTCTTAAAGTTCTTATAATTCTAAACTCTCTTTCCTCTCTAATCCATTCTCTGACTTCTCTCCTGCTTATTCCCTCTACTCCTGTCACATTGGCTTTGACATATTATTTTTCCAGAGACTTTACACTTGCAAGCCCCTCTTTCTGGAATGCTTTTCTTGCAATTATTTTCATTGCTTGTTTTCTCACTTCTTTCAAGTTGTCAAATCTCTCAACCTCAATATAACTTTCTCCCACCAAATTACATAATATTGTAACCCTCTTTACCCTTCACTTGCTAATTTTTCTCCATAGTACTTACAGCTCCCATTTGAGTCTTTTTAAGTGTGTGTGTATGTGTGAATATTTTAAACTGGGGTGCAGGACCTTTGAGATTCCTCTTTATCCCATAAGTCAAGCTATGCGATGCAATTATATTTTATCCAGGATCTATTTCTTATTTTTTTGTTTTTGTTGGTTCTTTTTCTGTTAATAGAAAATTTCTTCAGACTAACTGGAGAATTATATTCAGAATTGTCTGGAATAATATTCCAAACTGATGGAAGGTGCAATAAGGTTACATCTTTTGTTTTTAACTCTCCTCCACTCCTTCCACCACCCCAGCCTGCTGGTCTTTTGCAAATGAAATGACCACCCACTCAGTTTCGAAAGTCAGAAATTTGGGAGTCATTTTGACTCCTTCCTTTGCCTCACTACCACATTCCCTTTGGGAAAACTGTTAGGCAAGAACCTCACAGGAAGGTTTAATAAACTCATGGGAAGAAGAGTGAATGGTTTCAACCAAGTCCAGGCAGACACTGCAAATCTTTAACATACTATACATTAGAACTTTGAGTTCTCACTCTGAATCTTTAAAAAATGCAGCTTCCCCAAAATGGTAACTCAAAATTAGTGACTAAGCCACATATACTCAGATTTTTACCACAAACTCTCCAATCCTTCCTCCAATCTTACCTAACTTGGTAAAAGATTCTCCTTGTTGGTCTGAAGTAAGTAAACAGCCATGTGAGGCAGCAAGGAACTGAGGGCACCCTCTAGGATCTGACAGCAGCCTCTAATCTCCAGCCAACAAAACCTAGAGTCCTTACTCATGCAACCATAAGGAAATAAATTCTGTCAGCTACCTGAATGTGCTTAAGAATGGGCTTTCCCCAGTCGAGCCTCCAGATGAAAACACAGCCTGGCTGGCACCTTGATTGCAGCCATGTGAGGCCCTGAGCAGAGGCACCCAACTAAGCCATGCCTCACCTCCTGATCCACGAAAGTGGCAAGATAATAAATGTGTGCTGTTTTAAGCCACCTAGATTTGTGGTAGTTACATGACAATAGAAAACAAATACACACTGGATTGGTGCATGGAAAATGGAAGAGGAGCCGAAACCGGTTTGGCTCAGTGGATAGAGCGTCGGCCTGCGGACTGAAAGGTCCCGGGTTCGATTCCGGTCAAGGGCATGTACCTGGGTTGCGGGCATATCCCCAGTGGGAGAGGTGCAGGAGGCAGCTGATCGATGTTTCTCTCTCATCGATGTTTCTAACTCTCTATCTCTCTCCCTTCCTCTCTGTAAAAAATCAATAAAATATATTTAAAAAAAAAAAAAAAAAGAAAGAAAATGGAAGAGGAAAAGCCAAGTTCAAATTTCAGCCCCACCACTTACCAGCAGTAACTAAGGTACTCAGTTATGTCTTCAAAATGGGTATGATAATAAAACTTGTCTTCCCAGGTTGTTGGCAAGGTGACATGGCAACTCAGGAAGAGGACAGATTTAATAAGGGAGCAAATATCTCATTTTATTTAGGCCAGTGTTGGCACATATTAGGGGCTAAGTGTTACTTGTAAAACTCAAGGAAGAGAGGTCTTTTGTAGGTTGAAAGCAAGAGGAAATACATTTTCCACTTAAAGAATGTCACCCTCTTATAGATCCCCTAAAGGGTTCTGTCATTTCATTTCCCCATACAATAGCTTAGTTCCTGCCCACTGGTCTGAGTCCATAGGCTGAAATATTAGAAACCCATTTTAAAGAAGTTTGAAAGAAGCAGGAGGAAAAGGAAGAGGCTGACAACCAAAATGATAAAATGAGATGCATTTTGAAATAACCAAGGCATTTGAAATTATAAACTTGTCCTGCTTAATATCAGTAAGTTATTCCTAAAAATCAATAATTCTGCATGAAGACAGTTCTTTTTCATAATTTTAAAGGGAAAAAATATATGCTATTATTCAACCTAAACTCTCATCCACTTCCCTAAAATGTAAGTAAAAGTTAGTAAACTATCTACATATAAGAAATAAATTAACAGGTTATAAATTACTTGCTCACCAAAATAATCACAATGCTGGTAACAGCTGCTGTGTGTGAAGTGTGTGGCTACAGTTAGAGTCAGCACCATCTGGGGCGCACTTCCTTTTATTGCACAGCAGGCTTTTCAAAACTCCACATGATTCTGATGGTCTGTCAGTTCTGCTTAAAATTTAAATACAGACTTATCTCACACTTCTTGTTTAAAATGTTGTGTTGCACTGTAGGCACATAAATTAAAATTTACCTGAATAAACATTGGCAGAAAAATGTTGGGTTGAGGAATACATACCTTCTCTGATGTTTGGGTGTAAAAACCAATGAGGCAGTCTATATATATATATAAAAAAACAAGAGGTCACATTCTGCAATTATTTCTATACATCAGTGGTTTTCAACCTGGAATGATTTTGTTCCCCCAGGAAGCAAATTTTGCCATGTCTGGAGACATCTTACAATGCATCTTACTCCCCATAACAAAGAATTACCAGGACCTATATGCCCACAGTGCCAAGGTTGAGAAACCTGCTATGTGTGGTTGCCACAAACTAGGAAATACTCAATATAATATTTGTGCATAGTTTTTTTGAAATTGTTTGCCTTTATGATTTAATAATTAAAATAATAGCAAATATAGGAATATAAAGGATTAATGTTGAAAGAAATAGTCCAAAAAGACACTTTATATTACTTTATACTATTTTAATTGTATTTGTATCCTTTGAACCAGGAAGACCTTGAGTAGAATTAGTTTTCCTGGTCTTTGTGAAAGCTAAAATATGCTCTATTAAAGTGGCAACTGCAACTGGGCCTTCTTAATGACTTATTTTTATACTACAAAGGAATATGGTTAAACAATACAGGAGACAGTTCATTAACTACAAGTGGGAATCTGCTTCTGAAAGGGGGTGGAAGCATGGTTGAATAGAAATGGCACAGATTTTGGAGACAGAAACAAAGTTTGACTCCTTCCCCTGTTCCATGGTATGTGATCTCAGGCAACTTAGCCTTCCTGTTCCTCAGCTTCAGCACTGCAGAATTGTTAAAATATTTTCAATACATGTTAAAAACAAGCACCTTGTACAGCACTTAGAGCATAGTAAAATATTCTATACATTTTAGTTCCTTTATATTTCATGAATATAGATACTGGAATTTGTTTTTACATTTATTGTCTGTTTCTAAATAAATTGATGAGAAAGTAAGTCTTGTGGATAACTGGATTCTTCACCAGGAAGGTAGGGGGCTGGATATGCTCTGGAATTCTAAGACATTATGACTTAATGACTATGATTCTGTGGTTCTAGTACTGAGTGGAGAAATCACTATGGGCTCGTTGCTAGGGACTCCATGTAAGACTGAGGGAAGACCATGATGGTGGTTACAATGTTCACTCATTCCATCTTTTTATAGAGCTTGCCATTGAATCATGGATCCATCACTCAAGGTCAAAAGATCGGCCCATACCATCTCTGTCCAACCGAAAGAAACGATACTGACTGCGTTTCCCTATTGGCCTCATAGCTCTCTGCTGGATTTCCTCAAAGGAGAGCCAAGAGTCTTGGGGGTAAGTCCTCTCCCATCCATGGGTCTCCCTGGAAGGGAACAAAGAGGTTATTTCTCCATGTATATTTCCAGAGAGGCTTTTCAGGAAGGGAGTGGGCTCTCCCCTCGCCCCCTTCAGCCACAATGTATCCTTCCTGATTAATCATAAATACTTGTAAGTCATTTGCTTGTACAAATAATTAGATCATCAGTAGAAGAGCCAATGATACGATTTCCCTAGATTTTTTAAAAATAAACAAGATAAATAGAAATTCTGTTTAGAAACATGCACAGTGTGCTTCATGTCCTAGTCGTGTTTCTGAGGGCTTATTTAACGCTGAGAAATAGAATATTTACCTATAATTATAAACTCCCCGACCCTGAGGAAATCCTCACGCTGTTTCATGAAGAGTTAGTACTGTCTTTGAATCACAGCAGAGGGGATGTAAGAAATCGGTGTAATTTTTCCAAATATTTTATTGAGGAGGCGACATCAGGGTGTGGTGGCACTTCTGAGGTTGGAGCAAAAGCCATGGGAAGAGAGCTGAAACTTCCACTTCGTGCTGTTAAAGGCATTGGGAGTTCTTTAAAAATCACAATGCTCCAAAGTCATCCACAAAGTGGACATACACATACAAACAATTTCAGTCATACATGCACATTGAAGGGACAAGAGTAAATTCACTACTTGTGGCAGACACAGTGACACAGAGGTGTGGCCCGGGAACAAAGCCTGGAATGCTGAAGGAGCAGCTCTGCCCTGAGAAGAGCCACTGACCCTGCACGACCACCATGGAGTTCCCCTCCCTGCAGACTGATAAGTCCACTAGGTTACTCTCCCCTCTTGTCAGGCCGCTGCATAAAGAGATGAGACACAACCTTACCCTAGTCTCTCTGCTCTGCATCAGCAAACTTCATAAAGTATTAGAGAAGTGGGCTGAGCTACAATCCCAAAAGCATACAGTGAATGTGGGAAATGTGTGTGTGTTGGGTGGGGTGTGGGGATAATAATAGGATACAGATGCCACAGAAGGGAAAAAAATATATGGGTGAATAGTTTGTAGTCTCTGTCCTCAGGAAGAGGACATGTACTCAAATTCATCTGATACAAGATAAATTGGTAACACCAGGAGATATAGCAAGTAGTGTTGCACAAGAGTAAACCATCTGAACTTGAAGGACCCAGGCAAATGTAATGAGGAAAGAGACAATGGGCCCCTGAAAATCTGAGCATGGTTGGCCAATGGAAAGAGGAATGCATTAAGGAGCTTAGAGGGAAGCCCAAGGGACCTGGGAGAGCAGGTCCAAAGACTTGGGCACTTGTGACCTCATGTACCCAATTCTCTCTTCACAGGCTATCCAGATCCTGCTTGCCTTGATCATTATGGGCCTTGGAACTATATTTGCAGTTAATTACTTCCTTTTCTCCCAAAAATTTCCACTTGTTTTCTGCACAGGATATACATTCTGGGGAGCACTTATTGTGAGTACTGTCAGGAGCTTTAGAAAAATTATTATAAAGACTGTCTTGCCACTGGGGGGTAGGGGAGGCCAGGGGATTGTCAAGGGCGGGAAAAAAAAGGACACATATGTAATACCCTTTGTAATACTTTAAGCAATAAAAAAAAATAATAAAGACTGTCTTGAATCCTAGAATAATGAATCCCGTGAACATGGTCCCCAAGGAGACCAGGCCCTTCCACAGTAAAAGTGACTCTATTTAGACACTATCATCATCATCATAGCAATAACTACTCTCAGGTATTCAGTATTTAAAGGTTTCCATGCCCCTTGTGTATGTAGTAAGGCATTAGCTCTTTTCTACCAATCTAGGGGATTAGATGGGTAAATATCTCATTTTCCCCTTTGCAAATAAGGAAATTGAGTTTGAGAGAAGTTAATAATTTAAACATATCTAGTGAGCACTCATAGAATCACAGACTTCCATAGCTTAACAAGAAGTTTAAGATAATTATTATGGTTCAATCCCCTTGTTATCCCAAAAGACAACTTTATGAGAGTCACTCATCTCGTTAATTATAGAGCCATAAATAAAATTCTTAGTATAGTGCTATTTCCATCCAATCCTCACAGCCGTGGCTCCTGTTGTTGTGCCACAATATTTAAGGGTAGACTCATTAGAGTTTCCCCCAATAGAACATACACTCCTAAGAGGGTAAGGATATTGTCTCAATTGCCGTTACATTCTCAGGACTTAAACTCATGCTTAAATGCACAGTAGACGAATGAATGAATCATCCAATAAACAAATGGATGAAATGAAAAATAGTAGTCTCATTTGTTAAAATCCCTGCTCTCTTTATTTTTATTTTTTAAACATCTTTTTATTGATTTCAGAGAGGAAGGGAGCAGGAGAGAGAGATATAAACATTATTGATGAGAGAGAATCATTGATTGGCTGCCTCCTCCTGCATGCCCCTACTGGGGAGCAATCTTGCAACTCAGGCATGTGCCCTGACCGGGAATCAAACAGTGACCTCCTGTTTCATAGGTCTATGCTCAACCACTGAACCACGCCAGCTGGGCATTCGCTGTTCTCTTTAGATGAACATAAATATTTCATGCCTTTTAAATAATTTGCATTTCAAAGACAATTAGTAGAGTTTTCATTTCTAAATATAAATAACACTGAATATGATTTTCAAACTAAACATATCGCACTGTAGAAAAATCAAACAGAACAACTCCTCACTTGCCCATTTCACAACAGGAATTTTCCCTGTGTGACTTTGTGTGATCTGCAGGCATGAATTTTAAATCCTGGCAGACTGCTTGTTAAAAACTCCACTCTTCATTGAAAAGATATTTACTGAGCACAAAGTATATCTTCAGTAGTGTGCTAGGTGCTGAGAGTTCTGATAAGTAAACCCTCTCTGAGCGAACTGGTGAATTGCTCTTAGAATTAGGTGCCTTATCATGTAATATGCCTCCATATTTTTAAAACAAATTTTTTTTTAAAAAAATTTAAATTATTTATTGTTGAAAGTATTAAATATGTCTCCTTTTTCCCCCTTTGACCTTTCCCCAACTGCTCCCACCCCCAGCACATGCCCTCACCCTCTCTACTGTCTGTGTTCTTTGGTTATGCTTATATGCATGCATACAAGTCCTTTGGATGAACTCTTACTCCTCTTCCCCTCCCCTGCCTTCCCTCTGAGGTTGGACAGTCTGTTCAATGAGTAATAGGGAATTTTGAACAGCAATCTGGCCCTCATCATAGAGTACTTGGCCTTGCAGGACCTAATGTTGCTTTGTCAATAGCCTCTTTCATGAAGACAAGAGGGTTTTAGTCTTAGACACCCAGGTGGATATCCCCACAATCAGACAGCCATTTCAAGAGAGTGTTTGAATCTTTTAAATGAAATGACTCAGAAACTGGTTCTCTGCCAAGAAGCTGCTATTACAAATGGAAGAGTAATGCCTTCCTCATACTCAATGGAACATAAGAAATTGAATTCTCCAGAAGAAACTACTTTTCAGACCCCAAAATTTAGTCATATGCCTCGACCTTCATTGCTACCATTAGTAAAGACATCACTGCTTTTCTCAAAATTACCTACACCGATGTTGCAAGTCCCTTTGGGTCCCCATTTGGCTCTAGTGTAATGAGTTGGATGGCTGGAACTTTTAATGTAAACGCCTGCTATGGGTCACCTCAGTGTTCTCAGCTAATAAGAAAAGGGCCAAGATTATGGACTTCTGCTTCTGATCAGCAAATGAATGAATTTTCTAGACAGCCCAGTGTGATTTATTATAGATTTAGAATAAATGTGAACAGATTAAGAATTTCTTGTCAAAATGGGTGCTGATAATGTATTTTTTCAGTATGCATCCAGAGGCCTCCATTCAGGCTGGGTTTCCCCCCCAGATATTTGGGTGCTCATTAGAAGGTCTGTCTCAGTGGCAGCAGCATTTACAGAAGATAGATTTGGTATTGTCCAGTTCACACTACCAGTAATTATTGTTGATGCTGCAAGGGGTAGTTGACAAGTACTCCAAGCTTCTTCATGATTCCTAAATTCCACCTTGGATTTCAGGAACCCTGTGGATGCTGCTTATAAAAATTAAGATTTGTATTTACAGCATCACTAAAAACTGTTGTCTATCGAATAACTACTACATTTGTCAACATCTGAATGTTGTTCAAGCATCTGCAGAAGATCAGCAGAGACTTCAACAGTTCTTGGAGTTCAGAGAATAGTTAGTATACACTGTGTTCATTACACTGCTGATACAACTATAGATAGGACAGTAAGTATTCGGCATTCTTGCAACAGAAGAAAATAGACTAATTCGATGCTTTCTTTGTCATGGTGGTTGCTTTGAAAACTGTACTTTAATGGGAGAAATCATGGAAAGAAATTATCAACAGAATTACCAGAAATGGCCTTTTTTGTACCAGTTGCTTATTGTGTGCGTTACAATAAAATCTTTCCTCAATTCTCCCCCGACCCCAAAATGGCTGAGATCATTATACTAGATTCTGGCCCCCATATCAGCCTTTGCTTAGAGAGTTCCAGCCTGAGAAAGTTGTCTGCCATCTGCTCAGAGCAGACACAGTTCACCTTTCTCCTTTTCAGACCCAGACCCCAGAATTATCTTTTGTTTTGGAGCCCAGCTGGGCCAAACATCTGAGAGGAATACCTTAGAACTTAAAGAGGGGCCTGCTTCTTCCAGCTGATCCTAGCAAAGAGTCTTTGGGTAGTACTGAGCATCTCTTACATCTCCTCTTCTGATGCTCAGGTGGGAAGACTGGGAGGTTTGGGAGAATCACAGACAAATAGATTAAAATGTAATCTCCAGAGTAAACTATGTTGAGGTGGTGAAATTTATCACCTGTTAACTTTGGTCTCCTTTCTTTTTAAAAGTTTATTACTACAGGATATTTCACAGGACTCAACTGGGATAAAAAACATATGGTAAGTCATTTTTTGTGTGACTTCTTTATAATTTAAAATTATCTACTTGCTTTATCTCATCTTTGTGTATAAAGCCTTTAGGAATCTAGGGTCTCTCAGGAAAATCTTTATACATCAAATTTGCAGTTCAGGTAATTCCTGTTTGTCAGTGTCGCCATTAACTCTACATCTTTCTACTGGTTCCTTATTCTCTGGTCAACTCAACTGAAGGAATTGCTTATTAGAAACCGTCCTATGTTCCTCTGACTCAATGATTTTCAACTGGTGTGCCACAAAAAAAGTTTAAAACATGCAATACCTGACTAGTTAGTCATGGGCACTGACCTCTTTCCCCTTAGATTGTCAAATAAAAAAATGACAGTAGCCAACACAACAATATCCATCTAATAGGTGAATCAAAATTATACCTATTATTTTGTCAGATTGGCAAAAATATATTTTTTTGGTGTATTATAAAAGTTTAGTAATTAGTTTCCTTGTGCAATGACATGAAAAATGGAAACAATTTGTGGCTCCTCTCCCACCTTCACCTTCCCAGGGGCCCAAGTCAGTGTCTGACATATAGCTGGTACACGCTAAGTATTTATTAAAATAGGTCAATAAATGCATACTAAAATTAGATGTCATCACTCTCATTTTTAAGGATACAAATGGAGATTCCAAGAGATTAATTCCCTTGTATGAGGTCCTAGTTGACTAGACTGAGAATCAGGTCCAATTATAATGCCAAGATAATTTCTACACACTATTTTGCTTATCTATTGTGAAAGGTGTTGCATCTGAATGAAATAAACATTTCCTTAAGTATTAATCATAGTGCATCCTTACTCCACCCTTCTCTTTCTTGGCTTCCTGGCTTATATTAAATCAGATTGTCTTCTGTCTTTGATGAATCAGGATTTAAGTTAATCAAGCCTTTTGAGCAGACTGACCTGATGGAGCAGTTCATCCTGGAGGGGTATCTAGAAAGATAAATGCATTAAGAATTTCTTACAAGGTATTTTTGTTTTGGTTTGATTTTTAAATTATTTACTTATTTTAAAAAACTTTTCCAGGGGCAAAGCGTCATGGCCATGAATGTGATCAGTATTTTGGCTGCGGTGGCTGGGATCACTTTCACCATTATCAGCTTTCAATATCAGCACCATTACTGCAAGATGCCTTCCCTCGAAGGAATATGTGTTATAGGTAGAGTCCTTTACAATGTAAGTGGTTTCATTCTCTACAATGAATCTGTATAATCTTATCTGAGCTATAGTCATGCATCAATTCACTAATTTTTATTTCAATAATTGATGATGTATCTACATTTGAACTGAATGCTGAGAACCATATTGTGATTTAACAGCCACAGTGTTTGGATTTGAAATCCTGGTTTTGTCACTTATAAGCTTGTGACCTTGGCCTAACATTTTGTCTTCTCTGAGCTTCAGTTTTCCTCATGTGGAAAATGAAGACCATAAGAATGCCTACCTCATCGGGTTGTTGAGAGGGTTACTTAAATTATAATACTAGCTGGTACAGTGTAGTCAATAGGTTCTAGCTATTACCATTAAGGTTGACATGGATTGGATTAAAATTTATCTTTTCAGCATTAATAAGGAACAGAATGATCTAAAATGTTTACTCAGTACTAAAACCAAAATGCAGTAGGAGAAGGTGTTTAATTCACTTAGTAAAGCATGTTAATAATTTTAGAAATAATTTTATATAAATGTAGCAATGTTATTCATTAAAGCAGATGAGAGGTATCTTTACTAGGAAATAGAACTGTAGGTATACTTTTACATATTTATCTAAAAGGCATCCAATGGGATTATTTTTATGCATGTCAATAATTCCAAAAGGCATTTCCTTCTACTTCCCCAAGCAAATCCTGGGGTTTTATTTTATTTAAGCCCATCTTAATGGCTTTGATCTTATATTGTTAATGAGATTTGACCCATTTGGGTGGAAGTGAAGTGAAATCATGAGAAACTGTCTCCCCCAATGAAGAAGGAAAGGAAAAAGAGCTATCAGTTATTCAATGTGAGATCTTATTTAATCCTCATAATCACTCATTAAAGTGAGTCTCAGGGTGTTCCCATATGTTCTGAGATAAATTCCAGACTTAAACTTATAAAAGGTTATTAAGGAAAGCAAGGGACAAAACCTGGTCCTAATTAGGCCAACAATATTATTTGGCATTATAATTCATACCCTTTTCCTAGTGAACAGAATGCCACTACTATACATTACTTTAGTATAAACCAGGAAGAAATGTATACTGGAAGGGTTAAGTCCCCATGTAAATGAAACTCTGCTGCCTACTTGCCCACGTGGTCTGGCATTGCAGGATTAATCTCTGTATATAGAACCATGGAGGATTTCTTCCAAGACCTCCCTTGTATAACTTCACTATTCCTTGCTGTAACCCTCACATCATAAACTAAAAATGCCAGAACAGTGGACTATAGACAACTTTTGGACTGACCTCTGTTGCAAAGACCATCTATTGTCTACACTGAAGCCAGTCATCACTTTGAAAGGCAAATCTGAGGACATAAGTCAATGGCTTCTGGTAAACATAGAATTAAGATCCCAATCTTAAAAGGTTTGTAGGACCCTGTAGAACCTATCCTGCCTACTTTCTTGACATTATTTCAGGCCTTTATCTTTCTTACTCTATTCTCTTGCCACTTTCTGAAATTCCTTATTGTGTCAAGTACTCACTGCCCCAGGACCATAAGATCAGCTTTTTCTTGCTTCAAATGTTTCCCAGCCCAGTGCCTCCCCTTTTCCACCTACTCAATGAACTCCTCATTCTTTAATTTCAGTATAAACATCACTTTTTAAAGGAGGTCCTTCCTGATTGCATCTCTACCCTCAGTGCAAACCTGGTCAGATCTCCTGTGATAACTGTGCACAGCTCCCAATACTTTTTCATAGCACATAACACAATTTAGTTAAGTAAATAATTACCTAATTATTTTTTACTGTCTGCTTTCATTACTATGACAAAGTTCCAGAAAAACCAAAACCAGGTATCTCATTCAACAGCTGAAGCCAGTAAATTCACAGTAGGTACTTCACACCTATTGGTTTATCAACAAATGGGTTATATCCAAGCTTTTGAATATGTTGAAGAAAAATCAAGATTCATATAGACTCAGTCACCTTCCAAGGTTAAGTGTAACCTTGGACCCAACTGCACCCTACTGTTTCTGTTTCCAGTGTCTAAGCTTTTTGAAAACCATGGTATTCCATGCTGCTTCTTGAAGCAGAGTGTGCAAAATAGCAATCGTCAGACTATATTCAGATTGAAGATATGTTCTAGTTGATTTACACAAGTAAATAAATAACTGCAAAATTTCACATAAAAATATGTATATCCAGCTTCCCTGGGAAAGAAAAATGGCAAGGCATCATGGAACCCATATTCCCACATGGTAACTATTGCCTGGAACTGAGTAATGTATGAATCCTAGAAATACCTTTACTCTCTACCATCTCCCCTCCTATTTCACTCTTTTAAATGGTTGCCTGGCCTCTATATGCATTGGAGTTAGTTCCCCCTCCTTATTAGGAAGATACAAGATGAAAACTGTTCAATCACTGATGGCTACAGACACGTATAAAATATGGGTTTTGCTTTACCTGGTCATACAGTGTAAGTGGTCCTTGGCTTAGATCTTTAAAATGGAATAGCTTTCATCCCAAATGCATTTACTCACCCTCATTTTTTTGCAGGGAATTTTGTCGGTCTTACTGATCCTCAGCATAGCAGAGCTCAGCATCTCGGTGACTATAGCCTCCTTCAGAAGCAAGTGCTGGACCAAGTCAAATGAGGTGTGTACAATGTTGTTATGAGAATGGTTCCCATTGGAACACTCCATGGTGATGTCTGGTCTATCAGTGTGCAGAGCAATGTTCTCGGATGCTGAACTAAAACTTTCCACTTTAGGAAAAGCTTAAAACTGAAGGCTCACTCCACCCTTTGAGACAACTATGCTTTATTTTCTTGCTCTATCTGCTGTCCCCAGTCATTCCAACATAGCTTCCTACCTGAATACCAAAATATATGAAAGACCAGGACTTACTAGGAACCCATATGACTGTAACATGAGGAACTTATACTTAGGTCATAAGGGTGTGTGAGGTAATTCCCTCATCAGAGATAAAGCAGAATAATTTAACAGTGATACTAATATAATCTATAATAATCATTAGAGCTAATACTTACTGAACACTCTGTCATTGTTATAATCAACATCAACTTACTCAATCTTAACAAAAATATTAGAACACCTTTATTTTACATATAAAAGAACTAAAGCACAAAGTGTCACCTCTCCAGAATCCTATATCATCAGGCTTTGGACTCAAGTAATGTGGTTCCAGAGTGTGCTCCCTCAATCTCAGATCATAATTCCAGGCCCTGTTTTAGGTGGTCCCCACCCCCTCTTTTTTTTACATCAACTTTATAGAAGTATAATTTGAAACCATTAAAATGCACCAGTTTTAAGTATACCATTGAAGGAATTTTGACAAATTGTATATACCTGTTTAGCTAACATCACAATCAAAATGTAGAGTATTTCTGTCACCCAAAAAGTTTTCCTGCAATCTCTTTTGCAGTTAAATAGTCTCAAACTTCCTTCATACACCTGTAATTTTAAATAAGTACTCTTTGTGTCTGGCTTTTTTCACTCAGTAACATGTTATAAGATTCATCTATGCCATAGCATGTATCAATAGTTTGTTCCTTTCTTTAAAGATTTTTATTGATTTTCTTTTTTTTTTTGCGGGGGGGGGGGGGGGAGAGTGAGAGAAACATCGGCTGCATCCTGCACACCCCCTATCAAGAATTGAACCAGCAACCCCTGGTGTACTGGACAATGCCTAACCAATTGAGCCACAGTAGCTAAGGCTAGTTTGATCCTTTTATGTAAGGATATACCACAATCTGTTTACCCATTTACTTTCTTTCTTTCTTTCTTTCTTTCTTTTTTTTTTATTATTAGTTAAGGTATTACAAATGTGTCCTCATCCCCCCCATTAACCCCCAACCTCCCCCCCACACACAAACTCATGCTCCCATCCCCCTGTTGTCCATGTCCATTGGTTTGGCTTATATACATGTATACAAGTCCTTCGGTTGATCTCTTCCCCTTACCCCCGCCCTCCCCTACTTTCCTTCTGGGGATTGATAGCCTGATTGCTGTTTCTCAGTCTTTGGGTCTGTCCCTTTTCATCAGTCTATGTTGTTCTCTATAATCCACAAATGAGTGAGATCATGTGGTATTTATCCTTCTCTGACTGGCTTATTTCACTTAGCATAATGCTCTCCAGTTCCATCCATGCTGTTGCAAAAGGCAAGAGTTCCTTTTTTTTTTTTACCACAGCATAGTATTCCATTGTGTATATGTACCACAGTTTTCTAATCCACTCATCTGCTGATGGGCACTTAGGCTGTTTCCAAATCTTAGCTATGTTGAATTGTGCTGCTATGAACATAGGGGTGCATATATCCTTTCTGATTGGCGTTTCTGGTTTCTTGGGATATATTCCTAGTAGTGGGATCACTGGGTCAAATGGGAGTTCCATTTTTAGTCTTCTGAGGTAGCTCCATACTGTTCTCCACAGTGGCTGCACCAGTCTGCATTCCCACCAGCAGTGCAGAAGGGTTCCTTTTTCTCCACATCCTCTACAACACTTGTTGTTTGTTGATTTGTTGATGATAGCCATTCTGACAGGTGTGAGATGATAACGCATTGTTGTTTTGATTTGCATCTCTTGTATAATTAGTGACTTTGAGTAGGTTTTCATATGTCTTTCGGCCTTCTGTATGTCCTCTTTCGAAAAGTGTCTATCTAGGTCCGTTGCCCATTTTTTTATTGGATTGTTTATCTTCCTTTTGTTAAGTTTCATGAGATCCCTGTAAATGTTGGAAATTAAACCCTTATCGGTGGTATCATTGGCAAATATGTTCTCCCATGTAGTGGGTCTTCTTGTTGTTTTGTTGATGGTTTCCTTTGCTGTGCAAAAGCTTTTTATTTTGATGTAGTCCCATTTGTTTATTTTCTCTTTAGTTTCCATTGCCCTAGGAGCATTATCAGAGAAGAAATTTCTTCGGCATATGTTTGCGATTTCGCTGCCTGTGGATTCCTCTAGTATTTTTATGGTTTCCCGTCTTACGTTTAAGTCTTTTATCCATTTTGAGTTTATTTTTGTGTATGGTGTGAGTTGGTGATCTAGTTTCATCCTTTTGCATGTATCTGTCCAATTTTCCCAACACCATTTATTGAAAAGACTGTCTTGACTCCATTGTATGCTCTTGCATCCTTTGTCGAATATTAATTGGGCATAGTGGTTTGGGTTGATTTCTGGGGTCTCTATTCTATTCCATTGATCTATATGTCTGTTCTTGTGCCAGTACCAAGCTGTTTTAAGAACAGTGGCTTTGTAATACAGTTTGATATCTGGTATTGAGATCCCACCTACTTTGTTCTTTCTCAGGATTGCTGCAGCTATTCGGGGTCTTTTTTTATTCCAGATGAATTTTTGGAACGTTCGTTCTAGATCTGTGAAATATGCTGTTGGTAATTTAATGGGGATTGCATTGAATCTATAAATTGCTTTGGGTAGTATGGACATTTTGATGATGTTGATTCTACCAATCCATGAACACGGTATATTCTTCCATCTGTTGATGTCTTCCTCTATCTCTTTTTTCAGTGTCCTGTAGTTTTCAGCATATAAGTCTTTTACCTCCTTAGTTAAGTTTATTCCTAGGTATTTTAATTTTTTTGGTGCAATGGTAAATGGGATTGCTTCTGTAGTTTCACTTTCTGTAAGTTCACTATTGGTGTAAAGAAATGCCATGGATTTCTTAGCATTAATTTTGTATCCTGCTACATTGCCGAATTCATTTATTAAGTCTAATAATTTTTTGATGGAGTCTTTAGGGTTCTGTATGTACAGTATCATGTCATCTGCAAATAAGGACAATTTTACTTCTTCTTTTCCAATCTGGATGCCTTTTATTTCTTCTTCATGTCTGATCGCAATGGCTAGTACTTCCAGTACTATGTTGAACAGGAGTGGTGAGAGGGGGCATCCCTGTCTTGTTCCTGTTTTTAGGGGGAATGGTTTTAGTTTTTGCCCATTGATTATGATGTTGGCTGTGGGTTTGTCATATATGGCTTTTATTGTGTTGAGGTATGATCCCTCAATTCCTATCTTGCTGAGAGTTTTTATCAAGAAAGGGTGTTGGATTTTGTCAAATGCTTTTTCCGCATCAATTGATAACCCATTTACTTTTTGATAGGCATTTGAGTTACTGTCTTTGTGTGAACATATGTTTTCATGTATCTTGGTGTGTTGTATCTGGGATTTGATTGCTAGGTCATATGGCAAGTGGATGTTTATTAAGAAAATGCCAAACAGTTCTTCAAACTGACTATACCATTTTGCATTCTTATCAACAATATGAAAGGTGCAGCTGCTCCATATAATTAGCAACATTTGAATTTTAAGTTGTATTAATAATATAGTCATTCTAGTGATTATGTAGTGTCCATAGCTTTAATTTTGCATTTTCCTGATGAAAAAAGATGATGAAACTATTTCTATGTGCTTATTGTTCATTTATATATCCTTTTTTTGAGATGTGTCTGTTCAAATTTTTAGTCAACTTTTTTTAAATTTAAATTTTTTTAAAATTTAAATTCTTTACTGTTGAAAGTATTATGTATGTAGCTCCCTCCTTATTGAGCTCCCCCCAGCCACTCCCATCCCCTAAGACATGGCCTCACTCCCCTACTGTCTGTGTCCATTGGTTATGCTTACATGCATGCATACAAGTCCTTTGGTGTTCTCTTACCCATCCCACTCCCCTGACTTCCCTCTGAGGTTGGACAATCTGTTCAATGCTTCTATGTCTCGGGATTTATTTTTGTTAATCAGTTTATGTTGTTCATCATATTCCACACATGAGTGAGATCATGTGATATTTTTCTTTCTCCAACTGGCTTATTTAGCTTAGCATAATGCTCTCAATGTCCATCCATGCTGTTGCAAATGATAAGAGATCTTTCTTTCTTTCTTTTTTTTTTTTTTTTACAGCAACATAGTATTCCATTGTGTAGATGTACCACCATTTTTTAATTCACTCATCTGCTGATGGGCACTTAGGCTGTTTCCAAATCTTAGCTATTGTATATTGTGCTGCTATGAACACAGGGATGCATATATCCTTTCTGATTGGTGTTTCTGATTTCTTGGGATATATTCCTAGGAGTGAGATTGACTACTGAGTCAAATGGGAGTTCCATTTTTAATTTTTTAAGGTAACTCCATACTGTTTTCCACAGTGGCTACACCAGTCTGCATTCCTACCAGCAGTGCACAAGGGTTGCTTTTTCTCCGCGTCCTCGCCAGCACTTGTCATTTGTTGATTTGTTGATGATAGCCATTCTGACAGGTGTGAGATGGTAACCTCATTGTCATTTTGATTTGCGTCTCTCAGATGATTAGTGACTTTGAGCATATTTTTCATATGTCCCTTGGCCTTTTGTATGTCCACTTTTGAAAAGTGTCTATTTAGGCTTCTTTGCCCATTTTTTTATTAGATTGTTTATCTTCCTTTTGTTAAGTTGTGTAAGTTCCCTATAAATTTTGGAGATTAAACCCTTATAGGATATAACATTGGCAAATATGTTCTCCCATGCAGTGGGTTCTCTTGCTGTTTTGTGGATGGCTTCTTTTGCTGTGCAGATGCTTTTATTTTTTATTTTATGTAGTCCCATTTGTTTATTTTCTCCTTTGTTTCCATTGTCTTAGCAGCT